GGGCGGCCCTGAGGGGTCCCGGGGCGGCCCTGAGGGGTCTGAGGGGAACCGGGGCGGGCCGGGGGCGCTCCCGGAGCGGGGCCGGCTCCCAGCGGGTTTTGTGGCGGTCCCGAGCGGGGCTCGGGGCTCGCTGCCGGGCTCGGGGCGCTCTGAGGGGACGGCGGGGCCCTGAGGGGGCTCGGGGGGGTTTGGCCTTGTCTGGGGGGTCCCTGAGGGGTCCCGGGGAGCTGAGGGGTTTGGAGGGGTTTGGGGTCTCCTGGTTTCTCACGTTCTTGTTCTTTTTCCTCCCCTCCTCTTCTTTTTCGCCTCTCCTTCATCCTCACCTTCCTCATCTTCATCCTTCCGGCCTTGCTCACGCCTCTCGTTGCTCTCGCTCTTCTCCCTCTTCCTGCCACTTGCTCTCCCTTGCCTCTTCATCCTCCTCATCTTCCTCACACCTTCATTATCCTCATCTTCCTCACACTTTGATTCTCATCTCCTTCACGCCTTCATCCTCTGACACCTTCGTCCTCCTCATCCTCCTCATCTTCCTCCCTTGCTGCTCCCGGCCCTTCGCTGTTCTCCCTCCGTCCCTTTCCCCTGCTCTCCTTCATCCTCTCCCGCTCCCCTGCCTCCTCTTCCTCCTCCTTTCCCGTTCTTCTTCTTCCTCTCCCTCTCCCCGTTCCCCTCCCTGCTCTTCCTCCTCCCTCCCCATTCCCCTGCCTCTTCTTCCTCCCTTTCCGTTCCCGTGCCTCCTCTCCCCGTCCCCTTGCCTCCTCTTCTTCTCCTTCTCCCGGTTCCCCTACCTGCTCTTCCTCTCCCCTGTCCCGTGCCTCCTCATCCTCATCCTCTCGTTCCCGTGCTTCCTCTCCCCATTCCCCTGCTTCCTCTCCCTCTCCCCCTTCCCCACCCTCCTCTCCCTCTCCGCGTTCCCGTGCCCCGTCTCCCCCTCTTCTATTCCCGTTCCTCCTTTTCCTCTCCCTCTCCCCTGTCCCGTGCCTCCTCTTCCTCACCCTCTCTCTCTCCCGTTCTCTCTCCGTTCCCTGTCCCGTTCCCGCTCGGTTCCCGGTGCCGTTCTCTCTCCCGTTCCCTGTCCCGTTCCTGTCCCGTTCCTTGTCCCGTTCCCGTTCGCGTTCCCTGTCCGTTTCCACTCCGTTCCCTCTCCCGTTCCTGTCCTGTTCCTTGTCCCGTTCCCGTTCCCTGTCCGTTTCCACTCCGTTCCCTGTCCCGTTCCTTGTCCCGTTCCCGTTCCCTGTCCGTTTCCACTCCGTTCCCTGTCCCGTTCCTGTCCCGTTCCTTGTCCCGTTCCCGTTCCCTGTCCGTTTCCACTCCGTTCCCTGTCCCGTTCCCTGTCCCGTTCCCTGTCTCGTTCCCGCTCGGTTCCCGGTGTCGTTCCCTCTCTCGTTCCCTGTCCCGTTCCCTGTCCCGTTCTCTCTCCCGTTCCTTGTCCCGTTCCTTGTCCCGTTCCTGTCCCGTTCCTTGTCCCGTTCCCGTTCCCTGTCCCGTTTCCACTCCGTTCCGTGTCCCGCTCCCTGTCCCGTTCCTGTCCCGTTCCTTGTCCCGTTCTCTCTCCCGTCCCTGTCCCGTTCCCGGTGCGCTCCCCGCAGGCTCAGGAGCTGAAGGAGCGGGGGAACCGGGCTCTGGCGGCGGGGGACGTGGGGGCGGCCGTGGGGCACTACTCGGCCGCCATCGCCCGGGACCCCAACAACCACGTCCTGTTCAGCAACCGCTCCGCCGCCTACGCGCGCCTCGGCGACTACAGCCGGGCCCTGGCCGATGCCTGCCGCACGCTGGAGCTGCGGCCCGACTGGGCCAAGGTGGGCACGGGGCTCTGCGGGGCGTGGGGGGCTCGGGGAGGATGGGGGGACTTGGGGAGATGGGGGTGAGGGAGGCACGTGGGG